TTTTCAAATTTAGTAATTTATACAGGAGAAGGGGTTACTAGCCCCTTGCTCCCGGCATTTTAGTCGCCTCTTACAACACGCATGGCTTAAGAAGGAAGAATTCTGTTCCACTTCCCCAAGGAGATAAGAGGAAATAAGCAAGAACAAGAACTAGAAAGAAAATAGCAGAAAACCCAGAGGGGTGTGTATATATATGCTTGTACATGTATGTGTAGTGTGACCTAAGTGTAAGTAGAAGTAGCAAGACGTACCTGTAATCTTGCATATTTATGAGACAGACAAAAGACACCAGCAATCCTACCATCATGTAAAACAATTACAGGCTTTCGTTTTACACTCATTTGGCAGAACGGTAGTACCTCCCTGGGTGGTTGCTGTCTACCAACCTACTACCTATATAGTGATACATATTAAAAGCAATTAAAAAAAAACAGGAATTAATCACATCATAGCGTCAATAAATTGTAAAATGCAAACATCACTGGTGCTTTTATGTCGCTGTTGCCAATTAGTGATTGTTTTTCACCAACTTCAACACACCATAAAATAATAAATTTTATCAGATTTCACTCATTTTAAGTCTTATTCAATTCAGGAAAACAAGCTCCATCGGTCTGTAAGAAAAAATACAGCCTATTCTCACTTAACGACGGAGTTCCGTTCCTAAGACCACGTTGTTTAACAAATTCGTCACTAAGCGAGGAGCGTACTACAATGGTAGTGAGTTTGTGTCAACAATCTCTGAAATTGTTTAAATGTCACCTTTGCACCAATTATAACATTTCTGGTATACGTATTTTTAAATGTTTATACAGTAGTGTACTGTATATTGAAAAAACAGAATAGAGGAAATCAGCTCTAATATACATTATTCCGGTATAAATACTGGTCAGAGAGCCTATTGTAAGTCCGAGGCATCCGTAAACGAGTACGTAGCTAAGTGAGGAGAGCCTGTATTTTATTTTCCAAAATTTTCCCACACACAGGAATTTTTTTTTTCAGACTATTCCACAGTTAAAGGGTTAAGTTTCTTTACACATACAATTATGATGAGCATAAATGAATCCAGCTAAACACTTAAATTAAACCTAAAGTCCTTAAGACTGTACTCCCTGGAATACAGCCACTGAAGAGTGGATGTATTCCAATACACTGAAGAGTGGATGTATTAGCAAATAGATCTATAAAGAATGAAGCAAAAAACACAAGAAATGGGGAGAGAATATTGCAGAAGTGTTAAAAAAAATATGTGGAAAGTCATAAAAATGTCAAGGAAAGCCAAAAAATATATAATGTACAGATCATCTCTGGAATTCACATACTTAGCAATCTGTGAGAGTCATTTATAAGATAAGAGATAAGATTTCGTTCAGATTTTTAACCCGGGAGGGTTAGCCACCCACAATAACTCAAGAAAGTCAGTGCATCATCGAGGACTGTCTGTCTTATTTCCATTGGGGTCCTCAATCTTGTCCCCCAGGATGCGACCCACACTATTTGACTAACAACCAGGTACCTATTTGCTGCTAAGTGAACAGAACAACAGATGTAAGGAAACCCGTCAAAATGTTTTTACCCTGCCGGGAATCGAACCTGGGCCCTCCGTGTAAGAAGCGAGAGCTTTGCCAGTCAGGCCACAGTGACTGTACTGAAGACAATTTGGTTAATAGCTTTAATAATTCACCACTGTTTTTAGCTTCATATACTTGGCACATAAATATTTATCAGTAGTAAACTAGCTCTGGAAAAAACCTGTGCCTTCAACAAAGTGAAACTACATACATCCCATCATCTGGCACCAAGACAGCATTAAGAAAGATGCATTTTTACCAATTCTCTGTCCCATCCCACAGGTATGTAGTAATTTTGTTTCATTTTTGAGGTAAATATAATATAATAAAATCTGTTTATGTTCTGACCTGCTTGGTGGGTGTCCCAGATGCGGGAGGAAGTTCCCTAGGAGCTGGGGGAGGGGGTGGAGGAGGAAGGGGGTGTTCGGTGGAAGTTGATCTCTTCCGTTTTCTTTTATCACTACTTCCACCTCCACCACCACCACTCCCAAGGCCAACACTCACAGGGCCACTACTCCCTCCTGATGATGTGGTAGGTGGAGCTTCTCGATTTTCCCGATTCTCTTTCCTGTAATATATTAAAATCCAACTTGAAATATAAAAAATATATCCCTAAAATAATACAGCCACTTAACCCCTTGAGGGTCCGTGCCGTAGATCTATAGCTTTACGTTGAGGGTCCAAACTGTAGATCTACATCATGAGCTCAGCTCACTCTGATAAGCTGTGAGCGGTAAATTTTGGCCTTGATGAGAGAATACATCTATGTGGTATGTGTGCACCACATAAAACAAATCCTGCAGCACATAGTGCATAATGAGAGGAAAAAAAAAACAGACCGTAGTTTTCAATTAAAACAGCGACTTTGCAGTGTTTTTTCATGTGTGTTTTATAGTTGTATTTGCAATTTCTTGGTCTCATTTGATAGAACAGAAGATATAATACAGAAATAGAGATGATTTTGATTGGCTTTAGTACTGGAAATGGCTTGAAACTGAGCTCAAAGTAGCAGAAATGTTAAATTTTTGCTGATGTTCAAGGGTAAACAAATGACCTCACACATCTAATACACGCCTGCTGGTGGGTCTAATATACGTTCACAAATGTTCTGATATTATTTATACAATTATTACAATACTGCATAACAGTAAATCTTCTATTGTTTGGTTTGAATAAAAATTCATTATATGAATAAAAAATAAAAATGGAATTCATTAGTAAAGCCTGAAAATGTAACTAATGAACAGAGGTTCTACTTCACTGCAACTATTAGTAAAGAAATACTTTCAGTCTCTGCCTCCCATGAAGAGCTCTTCAGATACAATCTGTAGTACATACTATAATTACTCCTAGATCTCTATCCCCATTCTTCTGATTGATTTCACTCTCTGTTCTTTCCGTTAGGCAGAATTTATCTTCATTAAATTGCATCATTCACTTGTCCCTCAATCTGCTTGATTTATTCAGATCTTGTGAAAGAGAATGACCCTCTCAGCCACTAAAATACTGAAAGTTAGATCTTTGGTTTATGGAAGAACATAAAACAGGGTGTGTTATAATTTCAACACACTAAAACTCCAAGGCATAAACAAAACAGACAAAGACAGTGAAGGATCAAGAACAAGGACATACCTAATGGAAACTGCATATACAGCCTCTCCTCACTGAGCGACATACTCGTTTACCAATGACTCGGACTTACAACACACTCTCTGACCAGTATGCATACCTAAATAATGTATATTAAAGCTGATTTCCCCTATTCTGTTTATTACAATATACAGTACACTACTGTATAAACATTTAAAAGTATACTAGAAATGTTATAAATGGGGCAAAGGTGATATTAAAACAATATCAAAGATGGCTGACACAAACTCACTACCATTATAGCGACAAATTCATTTACTAACATGGTCTTAGGAACAGAACTTCGTTGTTAAGTGAGGAGAGGCTGTATTGTAAGTACAGTGGACCCCCGCATAACGATTACCTCCGAATGCGACCAATTATGTAAGTGTATTTATGTAAGTGCGTTTGTACGTGTATGTTTGGGGGTCTGAAATGGACTAATCTACTTCACAATATTTCTTATGGGAACAAATTCGGTCAGTACTGGCACCTGAACATACTTCTGGAGTGAAAAAATATCGTTAACCGGGGGTCCACTGTATACCTAACCAAGCGAAAAATGTCAGGAATATCAAATGAGCTAGTCACTAATATTGCAATGCAAATGTATTAAAAAATGAGTTTTTAAACAGCGAGTGGCACACACTAAGAATGTTATGAAGTTTGAATTTGTATATTATTATTATTACAATCAGAAGTGCTCAACCCACAAGGATCATACAACTGTATATGTACTTACGGTGGCAGCTTAGATAAACGAGCCTGTGACATTGGCAGTGTGGTATATGATCCCTGATCACTGTTGTACTGTTGAGGTACCATAGCACCTTGGATAAATCTAAGTCCTTCTGTCTCCTCCTCAGAGTCCGTGTCATCAGATTCAGCACCAAGATCTGAGGGTATGAGGAACAAAAAATATGCAATAATTTAAAAATCAGCTTTAATTATTAATACACTTATTAGAGCAGCACTGTATGTAATAAAATATATACAGAGTTCTATGTTTTATACTGTTAATTCATGTATAAACCATAATCCATTCTTGATTCACCAAAAAATTTACATTTTTGTACATGATTTTTTGAAGCATGAAAGTTAAGACACTTGTGCAACATCTGGTTATCTTTATTGTAGACGTTTCGCCATCCAGTGGCTTTATCAATACAGAATCTTGGACATAATAAGAAAACAGAAGAACAATATACAAAAGATGAGGTAATCAGTCCCTCAGCCTTGGAGGTGTTTAGAGCACCGTGGTTGTAGAGATTCTGAAGCAGAGGCAAGGAGACTGGCGCTTATATAGGCGTCAGTGAATAGGGATGTGTAGCAGACGAGGGCATAGTCACTGGTAGGCAGGATTCCCCAGTGGAAGTAGGTCCTACCTAAATTGATGGGTTAGTTGTAGTAGCCGTGAAGAAGGTCATGTAGATGTCCTCTGAACCATGATTCCATGATGTTGCAGTGCCTGACAAGTTGTGCAAGACAGGTATACAATACCGACAAGATGAAAGTTAAGACACTTGTGCAACATCTATATTGATAAAGCCACTGGATGGCGAAACGTCTACAATAAAGATAACCAGATGTTGCACAAGCGTCTTAACTTTCATCTTGTTTGTATTGTATACTTGTCAGGCAATGCAATATCATGGAATCTTGGTTCAGAGGACATCTACATGACCTTCTTCACGGCTACTACAACTAACCCATCAATTTGGGTAGGACCTACTTCCACTGGGGAATCCCGCCTACCAGTGACCATGCTCTCGTCTGCTACACGTCCCTATTCACTGACGCCTATATAAGAGCCAGTCTCCTTGCCTCTGCTTTAGAATCTCTACAACCACGGTGCTCTAAACACCTCCACGGCTGAGGGACTGATTACCTCATCTTTTGCATATAGTTCTTCTGTTTTCTTATTATATCCAAGAATCTGTATTGATAAAGCCACTGGATGGCAAAACATCTACAATAAAGACAACCCGATGTTGCACAAGTATCTTAACTTTCATCTTGTCAGTATTGTATACCTGTCTTGCACAACTTTTTGAAGCATGTGTGGCATGTTCACTTTTAAGTAAAATAAATCGGACCATAAATTGGAATTCTTTACGATGATCATTTTCTTTTGGCTTTAAAGAAGTGCAAACTTAGTGCTCAAAAATTTTAATAAGTACAACACGGTGTACATTATTTAGCTTTCTAGTGAAATTGCATATGCTAGGTCTGTTTAGTAACCTCATATCCTAAAGCATCTCAAATTCAGGTAGTCAGCATCTCAAATTCAGGTAGTCAGGGCAGGCAAATTGTATGGTAAGGAATGCACAGTACCCTTTAGTCTTCGAAAAAATGTATATCAGTTCTGGAACATAGCATAAGTTTCTTGCATGTTCTTCAGTGTTTATAAGAATTATATATACATATATATATACTGCTTCATACAGGGGTTTACTGTACATGTATACTGCTATAATCATTATTATATTCATGGGGAAGCACTAAACCTTCTTTCTGCCATAATGGATAATAACTTAGCTAATATAACAGCACCAGTCCATTACTGTAGAATGCAATATCTATGACAACTTCCACTCTGTACCAGCGACAATTAATCTTTCAACTAACTGAGGTGATTAAACTGTCAAATGAAAGATATATGCAAGAGCTCAAAAATTTATTAAGTTTCTGACAAACCACAGATCTAATAAGGTGAATACTATTGTATACATTAACAAGAGCAATGTTTGACTTACCATCCATTTTGCCATATAATGCTGTTGTATTTGGTGGAGGCATTTTTGCGTTGATGCCATAATACAAAAGGGCCATCCTCGTAGCTATTGCAGTGTACGATGTTTGTGGAGGAACCCTGGGCATGAGTGGGATCAAACGTCTACCCTCTACAGCCCATTCAACTCCTGTGTTAGGCCCAGCTAGGCTATACAAATATTTGTAATTAAGGAACCAAAATAGGACATTTATTACAAAGTACAGTGGATCCCCGGTTTACGATCAGCTCCCAATGCGACCAATTATGTAAGTGTATTTATGTAAGTGCGTTTGTATGTGTATGTTTGGGGGTCTGAAATGGACTAATCTTATTCACAATATTCTTTATGGGAACAAATTCGGTCAGTACTGGCACCTGAACATACTTCTGGAATGAAATAATATCGTAAACCGGGGGTCCACTGTATATGTATAGTCTAAAAACAGTACAGTATATCATATGTAAATGAGAATTATACTAAAACTGAGTTTCAAAAAACAAACCATATTACAGTACAAAACTCTTACAGTGCACAGTAGTTTATAATTGGAATACTACCTAACATTCAATTATTACCTCTGAAAGAAGTATAAAAAATGCCTTGTTTTGAAAAAAATGATAACACCCAAGATTCCCTCACGTTCTCCATCACTGCTAGATGACCCACAAATCCCACTAGAACAAGACATAAGGAAGGCTTGTTTAAATGGTTTGGCTATGTAGAAAGGATAGAGGGGGGACAGAGAGGAAAGTATAATGGGTAGCAGTCATCCCAGGAATGGTCGGAAGGTTGTGCTCTGAAATATGCATGGGGAATGTTGCAGATAAGTGCAGTATATCATTTAAATAGTGTTGTTTAAGAACATCTTGCAAGACAGCTAGAGAATAAACAATAATGAATATGTTTCCCTTTTTGGGTCACCATACCTTGGAAATAAATGGCTGGTATTAAAAAGTTGATAACCATGGAAAAAAATGCGAGTTTTGCAAAGAAAATAATCCCCCCTAACAACTTACGTGTCTGCAATAGTGTTGAGTTTTTCATCATTAACTGCTCTCCGTATCTCTGCACGGTGTCTTTCAAGGGTGATGGAAAATATTGTCTGAAGGTCATTTAGTAGCTTTCTCTTCTCCTTAGTAAGTTCTCCTTGAGCTCGTAAGACTGATACAACTTGGCTGTAAGTGGTTAGTTCTGTGGAATGTAGATAATTTACGTGATATATAAAATAACTCCAATAAAGAAAGGTGATAAAACATTTGATTATTATTATTATAATCAAAATAAAGCCGTAAACCTACTAGTGCCATACAGCATAAAATGTTAGAACAATAAACACTGACTTAACAAGAATTATTCAAGTAGTTTAAAATCATAAAATAAATTAGCCTCTCCTCACTTAACGACGTACTCATTTACCAACGACTCGGACTTACGGCGGGTTTTCTGACCAGTATGCATACCTAAATAATGTATATTAGAGCTGATTTCCTCTATTCTGTTCATTACAATATACAGTAGAGCCCCGCTTTACGGCATTCCACTAATATGGACATTTCAAATTATGGCCAAAACTTGCTATACAGCTCCCCCCACCTGACTTTCTAACATGGTCACCATGTCCCACCCGGTTTGTTTACATTCTCTGTGAGCACAACTCCCCATCATGTCTGGAAACTTTCCAAAATTTAAAGTGTTTTAAAGTTATTTCAAATTATATACATTTTTTATTTTATTAACACATCAGCTGATACCCACCAAGGCAGGGTGGCCTGAAAAAGAAAAACTTTCATCATCATTCACTCCATCACTGTCTTGCCAGAAGGGTGCTTTACACTACAGTTTATAAAACTGCAACATTAACACTCCTCCTTCAGCGTGCAGACACTGTACTTCCCATCTCCAGGACTCAAGTCCGGCCTGCCGGTTTCCCTGAATCCCTTCATAAATGTTACTTTGCTCACACTCCAACAGCACATCAAGTATTAAAAACCATTTGTCTCCATTCACTCATATCAAATACGCTCACGCATGCTTGCTGGAGCTCCAAGCCCCCTCGCACACAAAACCTCCTTTACCCCCTCCCTCCAACCTTTCCTAGGCTGACCCGTACCCCGCCTTCCCTCCACTACAGATTTATACGCTCTCGAAGTCATTCTGTTTTGTTCCATTTTCTCTACATGTCCGAACCACCTCAACAACCCTTCCTCAGCCCTCTGGACAACAGTTTTGGCAATCCCGCACCTCCTCCTAACTTCCAAACTACGAATTCTCTGATAATTATACTTACGTGTACAGTACCTGTACCTAAGTAAACTTACACACTGTGCTGGCATGCAGGTACATGTTAAAATCACTAAGAGTGTCTTATTAGTCTTGAAGACACCATATTAATAATGATAATAATAATAACACACAATAATAATCACTCTGAGGCACATTAAAAGTTGTACAAAACATTAATACAGTGGACCCACGACCAACGATGGCATCAATTAACGATAAATCCGACTAGCGATACATTTTAACACAAAATTTTTGCCTCGACTAGCGCTAAAAAACTCGACCAACACTATTCGTTCCGTCTGAGACGCGTCCACTTCTGGCCAGTGTTTACAAGCCAGCCAGCCACCGCGGTCGCTTCCAAGCACACAATCGGAACATTTCATATTATCACAGCCTTTTTAGTGATTGCACCTGCAAAATAAGTCACCATGGGCCCAAAGAAAGCTTCTTTCTAGTGCCAACCCTACAGCAAAAAGGGTGAGAATTACTATGGATTTGAAGAAAGAGATCATTGCTAAGTATGAAAGTGGAGTGCGTGTCTCCAAGCTGGCCAGGTTGTACACAAAACCCCAATCAACCATCGCTACTATTGTGGCCAAGAAAACGGCAATCAAGGAAGCTGTTCTTGCCAAAGGTGCAACTATGTTTTCGAAACTGAGATCGCAAGTACTCAAAGATGTTGAGAGACTGTTACTGGTGTGGATAAACGAAAAACAGATAGCAGGAGATAGCATTTCTCAAGCGATCATATGTGAAAGGCTAGGAAGTTGCATGACGATTTAATTAAAAAAATGCCAGCAACTAGTGGTGATGTGAGTGAATTTAAGGCCAGCAAAGGTTGGTTTGAGAGATTTAAAGGGAAGGGAAGTAACCCCGGAAAAGGACTTGCCACCTCAAGTCCTAATGGAAGGGGATTCCCCTTCTAAACACTAAGACCATCAACACTCTCCCCTCCTCCCATCCCATCAATCATCACCAGATCTTCAATAAAGGTAAGTGTCATGTAACTGTGCATGTCTTCTTCAGTTTGTATGTATTAAAATTAATATTTCATGTGGTAAAAACTATTTTTTTTTCATACTTTGGGGTGTCCTACACAGATTAATTTGATTTCCATTATTTCTTATGGGGAAAATTAACTTGACTAACGATAATTTTGACTAACGATGAGCTCTCAGGAACAGATTAATAGCATCAGTCAAGGGTCCACTGTATAGACATTTTGCTTAATCCATCTATGACATTTTTCCAAAATTATATACTAAACATGCTATGTAACATATAAACATGATAAATACACCCACAATAGAATAAATTAACATAAATATGAGATGTTTTTCCAGTTGTCTTGCTGGAGTGTCGGAAAGAATAATGTTTTCTCTAGTTCAGCACCAAAGAAAATGTGTACACAATGGTATTACTGGGGATAACTGTAGAGAATTATTCCTTTTGGCCCTCACTCCGAGTGTCATTCCTTCTATACATGGTGTGTTACATGAGAATGGTAGTGTTGCTCTTTATTTATTCTACTGTACCAACGTGGAGACGACTTGTAAGGTGTTTGTATTATGATATAAGCTTTACAAATATGGAAATGAACATATATCAACCCACCAGCCGTGTTCATCTTTGTTTACATACTCTGCGGCTCTGTCCTCTCTCATTTACTCATTCTTTCTCTCTCGTTTATTCGTTTTTATCTTGTTTACTCAACTTTCACCCTACATTAGGACTACAAATATTTTAGGGTAAGTGATGAGTGTATTGTACATGCGTTTTATTGCTCTAGGATACTTTAATTGCTGTAGTATAGTAAATATGGTTGGGGTGGCCAGGAGAGCTACCATACCTACCACACCTGACTTTCTACAAATAAATACTATTCTTCGTTCACCCTACATTAAGACTACAAATATTTTGAGGTAAGTAGTAATGAGTGTATTGTGTGCATTTTACTTTTTATAGTTTTTTTAATGCCTAGTTCTACTGCTAACTTAATATATTAGTGTAAACTTATTATCTGGCATTTATATGCATTTATAAGTGGAAATGAATGGCGTACTGCTTTGGGGCGATGTCCGCTTTCCAGCGGTAGCGTGGAACCTAACCTGCCATATAAGTGGGGCCCTACTGAACAGTGCACAACTGTATAAACATTTAAAAATACAGTGGACCCTCGACCAACGATGACATCATCTAACGATAAAATCGCCTAACGATGCATTTGAGTGTAAACATTTTGGCCCGACCAACGATGAAAAACTCGACTAACAACATTCATCCCGAACGCGTCCATGCGTCCGTCTGGCCTGAGCATGCCTCAGCTGCCCTGCGTTCAGTTAGTGTGCCATTGTCTACAAGCCAGGGCAGTCGGTTACACGCATACATTCAATACATTTCATATTATTCCAGTGTTTTTAGTGCTTGTAACTGCTAAATAAGCCACCATGGGCCCGAAGAAAGCTAGTGCCAACCCTGTGGTAAAAGGGTGAGAATTACAATCAAACTGAAGGGGATAATTACAGAGTATTAAAGTGGAGTGCATGCCTCCGAGCTGGCCAGGTTGTAAAACAAACCCCAATCAACCATCGCTACAATCTTGGCCAACAGAAAGGCAATCAAGGAAGCTGTTGTTGTGAAAGGTGCAAGTATGTTTTTGAAACAGAGATCGCAAATACTCGAAGATGTTGAGAGACTGTTGTTGTTGTGGATAAACCAAAAACAAATATCAGGAGATAGTATTTCTCAGTCAATAATATGTGAAAAGGCAAGGCAGTTGCATGATGATTTAATTAAAAAAATGCCTGCAACTAGTGGTGATGTTAGTGAATTTAAGGCCAGCAAAGCTTGGTTTGAGAGATTTAAGAATCGTAGTGGCATACACAGTGCGATAAGGCATGGTGAGGCTGCCAGTTCGAACCAAAAAGCGGCTGAAAAATATGTGCAGGAATTCAAGGAGTACATAGACACTGAAAAATTAAAACCCCAACAAGTGTTTAATTGTGACAAAACAGGCCTGTTTTGGAAGACAATGCCAAACAGGACCTACATTACACAGGAGGAAAAGGCATTGCCAGGACACAAGCATATGAAAGACAGGGTAACTCTCATGTTTTGTAGTAATGCTAGAGGGGTTTGCAAAGTGAAGCTTCTACTCATGTATCACTCGGAAACTCCCAGTGTGTTCAAGAAAAACAATGTCGTCAAGGCTAATTTGTGTGTGATGTGGAGGGCAAACAGTAAGGCATGGGTCACTAGGGACATTTTCTGATTGGTTTTATCATGTGTTTGGCCCCACTGTGAAAAATTACCTCCTGGAAAATAAATTGGACCTCAAGTGCCTCCTGGTATTAGACAATGCTCCTACTCATCCTTCAAGACTTGCCAGAGCAAATTGCGGGGGACTTGAGTATTATAAAAGTGAAGTTCTTGCCTCCTAATACCACTCCTCTCCTCCAGCCCATGGACCAGCAGGTCATTTCAAATTTAAAAAAATTGTACACCAAAGCAGTGTTTCCAAAGTGCTTTGAAGTGACCTCAGACACTCAACTGACCCCAAGAGACTCTTGGAAAGATCACTTTAGTATCCGCAACTCCATAAACCTTATAGGTAAGGCTTGGGAGAGAGTGACTAACAGGACCTTGAACTCTGCTTGGAGGAAGTTCTGGCCAGAATGTGTACGAGAGAGAGATTTTGAAAGGTTTGGGGCTAACCCTGAGGAGCCTATGCCAGTTATGGAATCTATTGTGTCATTGGGGAAGTCCATAGGGTTGGAGGTTAGTGGGGAGGATGTGGAAGAGTTGGTGGAGGACAACAATAAAGAACTAACCACTGATGAGCTGCAAGAGCATCTGCAACAGCAAGAGACCACAACTGAGGAAACTCCTTCAGAGGAGGGGAGAGAGAGATGGAGGAAGTTGCCTTCTTCAACGAATAAGGAAATTTGTGCAAAGTGGGTTGATGTGCAAACCTTTATGGATGAAAATCACCCTGACGCAGCTATTGCAAGCCGTGCTGGTGACTTTGACAATGTTGTGGCCTATTTTAGAAAAATCTTAAAGGAACGCCAGGTATAGAGCTCTATGGACAGATTTTTGGTGCGACAGAGGTCCAGTGACTCTCAAGTTGTTCCCAGTGGCATTAAAAAAAGAAGGGAAGTAACCCCGGAAAAGGACTTGGTACCTAAAGTCCTTATGGAAGGGGATTCCCCTTCCAAAAAATAATACACCTCCATCTCCCCTCCTCCCATCTGATCACTCACCAATAAACCTTCAATAAAGGTAAGCGTCATTCATTCTTCATGTAGTATTTACTGTGCATGTATCCTTGTTTTTCTGTGTAGGAAAATGTACATTTCATGTGAAAAAAAAATTTCATACTTTTGGGTGTCTGGAACAGATTAATTGGATTTCCATTATTTCTTATGGGAAAAATTAAATCGGCTAACGATAAATTCGGCTAAGGACAAGCTCTCTGGAACAGATTAATATCGTTGGTCGAGGGTCCACTGTATACCAGAAATGTTATCAATGGTGCAAAGGTGACATTAAAACAATATCAAAGATGGTTGATACAAACCCACTACCATTATGGTATGCTCCTTATTTAGTGACGAATTTGCTTACTAACATGGTCTTAGGAACAGAACTCTGTCGTTACATGAGGAGAGGCTGTATATCATTATTTTTTTATAACACACATCAAATGCAAGGCCAAAAGAAAACAAAAATACTGTATTAATAACTATCTAAAAGTTTCTCTGTACTACTTGAAGGCATCAGGAGCAAATGCATCAAGATGGACAATTTGTTCTGCAAAATGAAAGTTTACAAAAAAATAAAATATTCACTATTCAATTATGCATATGCAGCCGCATAGAAAAAAGTAATAAACCTGAACATTTTTGTGTATAGTACTTTTATGATGAGTGATAATGTACTGATAATGTTTTAATACCATACATAAAAATGGCTGGATTTATTGATAACTGATGTGGAATGAGAGAAATAAGAAAAAATTGCTATATATTTGAGGATTAAAATTATAATAAGGTACTAATGACAGAATAATAATTTGCAGGTGTCATATGGCCATATATGCAGAGAAGAAATGCACCTCAAAATTCCACTTGCAACTCTCCAAATTAAAGGGAAATGGAATAGTGTACTGTAAAGAAAGCAAACCATTGCACAAGGAATAAGCAATATTGCTAACAAAAGTTATTTTATTAATTTGCACAAAATATTGAAAAAATTCATATATTGCACATTCCATATATAAAATTTAGTTGAATATCATAATTTTATCAAATGTGTTAGAAACCAACATACAGTACAAAACAGCATATACAGTGGACCCCCGCATAACGATTACCTCCAAATGCGACCAATTATGTAAGTGTATTTATGTAAGTGCGTTTGTACGTGTATGTTTGGGGGTCTGAAATGGACTAATCTACTTCACAATATTCCTTATGGGAATAAATTCGGTCAGTACTGGCACCTGAACATACTTATTGAGTGAAAAAATATCGTTAACCGGGGGTCCACTGTATAATGGTTCCAACAAACAAAGGAAAAAATGAAGAAAACTTGTATGCTGTTGTGCTCTACATCTTGAGTTAAATTCCAATACAAACTTATTTGCATCCTACAGAAAAATCCAGACACAAACAGAGGTATACATAAGAGGCCAAAAAAAAAAAAATTATATACCAGTACTGTATTACAAATTAAGAATGTATCACAGAAAAAGAGAATCATAAAGAATACAAAGGTACAATACCATAACTGGAACAATACACATATAACCTGGTGGCCTGGTGGTTAACGCTCTCGCTTCACACGGTGAGGGCCTGGGTTCGATTCCCAGCCAGAGTAGAAACATTGGACGTGTTTCTTTCAACCTGTTGTCTATGTTCCCCATCAGTAAAATGGGTACCTGGGTGTTAGTCGACTGGTGTGGGTCGCATCCTGGGACACTGACCTAAGGAGGCCTGGTCACAGACCGGGCCGCGGGGGCGTTGACCCCCGGAACTCTCTCCAGGTAAACTCCAGGTAAACATAGGAGAGTGCAATGTCATAAGTTTCTTTCTCCCATATGAGGGTTATTTGGGTAAAATAATCATACAAGATTTTATGGGTTATGATATACTAATAAAGACCTATTTGTTAAGCATGCTCTTGTGATAATGTAAATATAAAGTGCCAAAGGTATTGAAGTTTATTTTTCACATAGCTTGTACAAAATAATGATGTCATCAATGAAAATATAAAATGCCAGAGGTTAATCTCACCTAAAGCACGAAGAGCTTTCCGACATTCGTCCTTCGTCATATCCAGCAATTTCGGCCATTTATTTGGCACCTTATTTCCTATATCCATCTGAAACAATTTTAAACCAATAAGATAAATAAAATTAAAATACTTCAAAGAAATTACATTTTAAACTTTTTCAGATAATGGCTTAATGTATATAGTATAAAATTTACCATGGAAGTTACTACTGCCACAATGAGCACTACATTGAAAAATTTCTGATCTTATGAGAAAAATTAATAAGTTTATTTAGGTACAGGTACACATAAGTACAATTATCATACATAGTGTAAATTACCCAGGATAGCCCCCCAAAAAGGTCAGATAAAGTGACTTATTTCCACTGGGGTCCTTGTGTTTGTTTTGTTTGATTCATGTTAAACGTGGAACCCACGTGGCTCATGCTGTGCAAAACGTGGTGGAGGCGGCTTGATCCTATTTGTTTCCTATTTGTGCTCACCTATATCCCCTGGGGTCCTAGTGATAAGGGAAAATGTTAGAGTAATTGCAAGAGGTGCCCCATACCTCGATCGCTAGCATACTCAGCTCACTCACTGAGGTTCAAGGTTCGATCCCCAGTATGGCTGGAAAATATTAGAACGTGTTTCCTTAAGACACTTGCTGCCCATGTTCATCTAGCAGTAAAACAGGTACCTGGATGTTAGTCGACTGGTGTGGGTCGCATCCTGGGACAAAACTGACCTAATTCGCCCAAAATGCTCTACATAACAAGGGGCTTCCTATATAGTAGTATGTCACTGTACATGTACTTATAGAAATAAAGATTATTATTATTAAGATTACATTATTATATTATGGGGAGCAATAAATCCATAGGGATTATATAGTACCTGTTGGGGGAGGGGTTCAATTCAGGGAACTGGACTAAAAATCCAATTTCCTAGATCAAGAGCCCCTCACCAGCATCAGGGAACATCCCTTGAGAGGATCACAAGATGATAAACATTTCCACTGAGATATCAAAGTATCGCACCTGCGTTTTATTCACCTCCAGCACAAGCTGTACATATAGACGAGGCACAGATGAGGTTGGATTACCTTAGGTCAGCTAGTCCTACTTTCCCTACACCAGACCACCAGTGTAGGACACCACTAACGACCTCCAGTGGCATCAGTGGTAATAAGTTTATTGAGGCACAGGTATACGTAAATACAATTATCATAGTGTATATTACCTAGCATAACCCCAAAAAAGTCAAAGTGACTTATTACCATTGGGATCCTAGACTTCCATTGGGATCCTAGACTTCCATTGGGATCCTAGACTTCCATTGGGGTCCTTGACTTCCACTGAGGTCCTTGACGTCCACTAGGGTCCTTGACTTCCATTGTGGTCCTTGACTTCCACTGGGGTCCTTGACGTCCATTGGGGTCCTTGACTTCCATTGGGTCCTTGACTTCCATTGGGGTCCTTGACTTCCATTGGGGTCCTTGACTTCCATTGGGGTCCTTGACTTCCATTGTGGTCCTTGACTTCCACTGGGGTCTTTGATTTCCATTGGGGTCCTTGACTTCCATTGGGGTCCTTGACTTCCATTGGGATCCTTGACTTCCATTGGGATCCTTGACTTCCATTGGGGTCCTAGACTTCCATTGGGGTCCTTGACTTCCATTGGGGTCCTTGACTTCCATTGGGGTCAGTAAGTAGGTAACTAAGTTTATTTAGGTGCAGGTACGTATAAATACAGTTACACAAATTATCATACATGGTAACATGTGTAAATTACCAAGGATAACCCCCAAAAAGTCAGACAATGTGACTTATTTCCATTGGGGTCCTTGAATTTCCAATGGGGTCTTTGATTTTCCATTGGGGTCCTTGATTTCGACCTAATATACAGCACTCCACAGCTTAACTGTCGTTCAGCACTGACTGCAGCAGTCACCCTACGAACACCCCTCGACCTCTCGCCTAAAATATATCAATATCCCGTGAGGAAATACCTTACAACTATGAAATAAAACATAAAAGAGCATCATGGCAGCAGTTGGTCGGCTCGAGTACGTCTCACCATTTTGCCAGAGCGTCGCCAACACCAGCTTATTACCGCATTAATATGCATCTCCGCCACTCCACGCCCCTCTCACCCCTCCATGCACGCCAAAAATGTACTCCAGATGTGCAAAAATGTGGGGCATTGCTTACCATGATCGAAAAATTGTGTATTTCCAGCGTCACATCTTCGAGTTACTTTGTCAACAAACAGGACAGTCTTGGGGGGTAACAACCTAAAATTATTTGTATTATAAACCACTACGGTTACTCTAATAACGACATCTATATTTAATAGTATGATTTAACTAATGAAATAGTGAATTCTTTAAATTATTTTTCCCCATTTGTGCCGCAGCTGTGTTTATTTATTAAAGAAAGCAGAGAAAAATATCTTGCGCCAAACTTTTGTGGTATGAAAGTTTTTCATGCATATTACGGCTTTTAACAAACATACAAATTCTTATTATAATTATCTCAATATCACGTAATCTTTGTTTGCTTTGCTTTAAATATAACATTTTTCTCTATTTTTAAGCTAGTAGCCCTTGTTCAAAATCTTCATGATAGTTTATTCAGGTACACAAATACAGTTACATAGATTATCATACATAGTACCATATGTGTAGACAAAAACAAAACAAAAATAATTTAAAATTGGAAAAAAAATAATTTTGTTTCACTTATTTTCAGGTCCTGATCTGAGCTCATCGTTAATTTATTTCTTATGTGGGGTGGGTTAGGCGGATTTATTTTGTGAAAATAATAATAACCTACCGTGGAAGATATGAGATGCGTCTTTGTTTCTCTTCTGATGCGTCTTTGTTTCTCTTCTGATGCGTCTTTGTTTCCCTTCTGATGCGTCTTTGTTTCCCTTCTGATGCGTCTTTGTTTACCTTCTGATGCGTCTTTGTTTCCCTTCTGATGCGTCTTTGTTTCCCTTCTGATGCGTCTTTGTTTCCCTTCTGATGCGTCTTTGTTTACCTTCTGATGCGTCTTTGTTTCCCTTCTGATGCGTCTTTGTTTACCTTCTGATGCGTCTTTGTTTCCCTTCTGATGCGTCTTTGTTTCCCTTCTGATGCGTCTTTGTTTCCCTTCTGATGCGTCTTTGTTTCCCTTCTGATGCGTCTTTGTTTCCCTTCTGATGCGTCTTTGTTTACCTTCTGATGCGTCTTTGTTTCCCTTCTGATGCGTCTTTGTTTACCTTCTGATGCGTCTGTGTTTCCCTTCTGATGCGTCTGTGTTTCCCTTCTGATGCGTCTTTGTTTACCTTCTGATGCGTCTCTTTCCCTTCTGATGCGTCTCTGTTTACCTTTATAATAATAATACCTTCTGATACGTCTTTGTTTCCTTTCTGATATGTCATTGTTTATCTTCTGATGGATCTTTGTTTCCCTTCGGATGCGTCTTTGCCTTCTGATGCGTCGTTGTTTCCCTCCCGATGCGTCTTTGTTTACCTCCTAATGCATTTTTGTTTACCTTCTGATGCGTCTTTATTTCCCTTCTGATGCGTCTTTGTTTACCTTCTAAAGCGTCTTTTTTACATTCTGATGCGTCTTTGTTTACCTTCTAATGCGTCTTTGTATACCTTCTGATGCGTCTTTATTTCCCTTCTGATGCGTCTTTGTTTACCTTCTAAAGCATCTTTGTTTGCCTTCTGATGCGTCTTTGTTTACCTTCTGATGCGTCTTTGTTTACCTTCTGATGCGTCTTTGTTTACCCTGCTGTGATTGGCCAGCCACGTTACACCACTCGACACTAACTGATAATTAGCTCTAGTGTGCCGTTCATACCAAAAATAAATGCATTTTTTTCGCAAAAATCTTCCAGAATATAAAGTTGCACAAGAAACAATAATTGTTGCCAGGTTACACACAACATATTTGTAATTTACACAACAATATAATGTGCGAGTTTTGACCAGGACCAAAACTCCCTATTAACCTTTTCTGACGTATGCTAATATATAAGCAATTTATTATTTAGACCTAATACAGTTTGGGCTTGACAAGGACCTGCCAAGTATAGGCCGGTAGGCCTGCTGCACTATTCCGCCTTTCTTATGTTTTTAAATTGTTTAAGTTTTGCATAGGCAGAAGTAGATGCCGTCTTTCCTACCTTCAGTGAACACAACAATGAACATACCGGACCAATCACCCAATTATGAACATTGTAACAAGTGATGCTGATACATGCACATCATTTTCACTATCTGGATAACAAGTGGGTAAAATCGCAACATTTTCTTTTCTAGTTCCTTATAAATTTCATTATTTCACATGAACTTAATGTACTATGTATATATGTTGGTAGAATTACCCATAATATGTAAAATAAAAGAACACATATGCAACTAATGTAACATTTTGTTGTGGCAACGTTTCGCTCTCCAGGAGCTTTGTTAAGCCGTTACAAACACTACGTAGACACAGAGGGCATATATAGGCTTAGAGTGAGGTGCATTGCTAGTGATAGTAGTAGTAGTGATACAATATGGTAGTAGTAGTAGTAGTAGTAGTGATACTACTACTACTACAACTTATATCACTACTACTACTACTTATTTCACTACTACTACTACTACCACTAGTATTACACCTCACTCTAAGCCTATATCTATGTCTATGCCTGTGTCTATGTAGTGTTTGTAACGGCTTAACAAAGCTCCTGGAGAGCGAAACGTTGCCACAATAAAATGTCACATTAATTGCACTTGTGTACTTTTACTTTACATGTAGTACCTTCTCTTATACAAAACTAGTCCGTTATAATTTTAATCTTAAGTCTACCCGAAATGCACTGCGTAACTGTTATGGGCAGACGGGTCGCATCCTAGAAGAAAGCTTATAAAGTACCAACGAAAATACCCCCAGCTATGTGCCGCTTTCTTGGGTTATTCTGGATTAATTACCCAACAACTTTTTCTTTATTTTTATCTATATTTGTCACGTTTTTTCATTGCAGACCTTCTAATTTTCACCGTTGTTGCAAATAGTTTAGACGTTGTGCGTTGCTTTCATAAGTTGCAGACTAGAATGTATTTCAGTTAAATTATGTTTTTCCTGTGGTTACCCATTCTACCCATCTGAAGCACCTTCATACGTCCCAAGCCCAAGATTAGAATCTGGGCTTGGCCCACCAACGGAGGAGGACACACTAGAGAACCGCCCGCGTGCCGTGGGTGGCTGAGGTGCACCACGACCACAAGAACCTTCCTAAGTGCTCTTCCTGATCTTGTCGACTCGCAAGGCTGGTCGCCCATCACGCGAGTAATTGAAGATGATGAATTTTTCCATACATTAATAGATGGACCTGGGAGCTGCGGGACATCTCTCACGAGGCAAGAAATGGGACTGAATACAGGCAGAATGGGGTGTTATACTCTCGACCCCCATAAGTCACACTCTTGGATTTTGCTAGGATAGTTCCAGGTTTAATCTATGTGAGTTATTACTGGTGTATCCCTGGAAAAATCTAAGCCCTCAGAACTATTGAAAAAAAAATATTCTTTGTGAAAAACGTTTGTAGATTTTCTCAGATAAAACTTATACAGTCTTCTGACCCATGGGGTTGGTAGGTAAGACACATAGGCAACAGTTAGGCAACTTTATTCCGAAACGTTTCGCCTACACAGTAAGCTTCTTCAGTCGAATACAGAAAGTAGGCAGGAACAGTAGAGATGTGAAGACGATGTAATCAGTCCATCACCCTTGAAGTCGTTGTTAGGTAAGACACATATGCAACAGTTAGGTATCTTTATTTCGAAACGTTTCGCCTACACAGTAGGCTTCTTCAGTCGAGTACAGAAAAGTTGATAGAAGCAGAAGATACTTGAAGACGATGTAATCAGTCCATCACCCTTAAAGTTTTGAGGTGGTCAGTCCCTCAGTCTGGAGAAGAGCATTGTTCCATAGTATGAAACAATATGGAGATGAAGTGACAGGATGGAGCCTTATATAGCGCCAAGAGGTGAGACGTAGGTCACTAGAAGAGGTAAGAACTCAGATGTTGGGAGGTCAGGTCCCTCTCAAATCCAGCCGTTCTCACTAGTAGAGGTTGTCGAAGTTGATTGTAGGTCTGTACCAAGATACCCTTGTGTTGCAGTGTCTGACAGATTGAACATTAAAATGGTATAAAATACCGACAGGTTGTTAGGTAAGACACATATGCAACAGTTAGGTATCTTTATTTCGAAACGTTTCGCCTACACAGTAGGCTTCTTCAGTCGAGTACAGAAAAGTTGATAGAAGCAGAAGATACTTGAAGACGATGAAGAGGGTGATGGACTGATTACATCGTCTTCAAGTATCTTCTGCTTCTATCAACTTTTCTGTACTCGACTGAAGAAGCCTACTGTGTAGGCGAAACGTTTCGAAATAAAGATACCTAACTGTTGCATATGTGTCTTACCTAACAACCTGTCGGTATTTTATACCATTTTAATGTTCACCCTTGAAGTCGTAGAATTTTGAGGTGATGGACTGATTACATCGTCTTCACATCTCTACTGTTCCTACCTACTTTCTGTATTCGACTGAAGAAGCCTACTGTGTAGACGAAACGTTTCGGAATAAAGTTGCCTAACTGTTGCCTATGTGTCTTACCTACCAACCTGTCGGTATTGTATACCATTTTGATGTTCGACCCCTGGGGTTACCGAGTGCTGGCAGACATGGGGTAGAGTAGCTCGTCCCCGAAACGAAGACCCAACGAGCGTATAATAAACCCGACAGTCAAATAATCACGTTTTCATTCAGGTGTGACAGTCTCACATTGGACCTTTATGGCCAAACCAATATACTTACGTTGGTTGAAATGCTGTGACCCCACCCAGGAGTTACAACGAAGAGGATATCTACGTGATTAAAAAGCTCTAAATTTTTATTCTCTTTCCAGCCATGGTATTACGACATTCCTCTTCGATAAAGACGTGTGTCAGGTTAATTTTTTCCCCCTGACGAGTAAATTAACACCAACTCTTCCTAGAGGGGTACCTGGTTGAGTTTTCCCGAGCCGCGGGGGCGTTGACCCCCGAAATCCTCTCCAGGTATACTCCCCAGACGTATGTGAGAGGAAGACTGATCTTAGCACGATGACCCCTGAAGAGGGAGGAGTAGGAGGGGGAGGAGGTGCACACACAAGCGGGGAGAGAGCTAAGCCGAGCTTCATCTAAAGTGGAGAAGGGATTAGCTACCCACCCTCACCCTCACGCTTCACATAGATCTTCAT